CATGATAAACAATCTGTCATGGCAGCATGAGCATGCTAGCATTGTTATTTTAGGCATCTTAGCAACATTTAACTTAAGTTCAGTGTTAGTTCCATATGACATTCGCTGTTTAGTGCGAATTAGTGAATTTTAGCATGCAAATATGCTAATCCAAAGTGCTGGGCATGGTAAACATTATGCTATTCTTGATTTGGCATGTTGTCACTCAAAGCATCTTAGCAGCATTTAGCTTCAGTTAATTTCTGCTAAATGTGACATTCCTTAGCTGTATGGCGCTAATTAGCGAACATTAGCAGGCTAAGATGTTAAGATAATGAAATGAAAAATACTTTATTTATCCCAGAAGGGAAATTCAATTAGATAGTGAACATGATTAACATTCTGTCACGGCAACATGCTAGCATTGTTATTTTAAGCATCTTAACAGCATTTAACTTAAGTTCAGTGCTAGTTCCATATGACATTAATTTCAACCTTAGCTGTTTAGTGCCAATTAGTGAATGTTAGCATGCTAATATGCTAATAAGCTAAGATAATGGACATGATAAACATTGTGTCATGGCAGCATGTTTATTGTTATTTTAAGCATCTTAGCAGCATTTGACCTCTGTTAACTGTTAGTTCAATGGATTAAACAAGTATTCTGCAGATTATTAATTAAACTGGAGACAAGACTGAGCAGCTAATTGATAAAAATCTGTTTTGTGAGAGTTTACTTGCAGAAATGGCAGTTTCAAGTTTGGTTGGTGTAGTTTATGATTATAGTTTTTAAGTTTGCTAGGGTTTTTTTGAGTTATGGTTTCCTTCACTTTCTTTGCTGACATTCACATCATTGAGAAACTTGGGAAAACCCGGCCATCGATGACCTCTGTACCCCTCTAATGCACAGATTATACTTCTTGGTCAGCTCCTCATGAATCCTCAGCGACGGCCCCAAAGTGTCTGCAGGGCCAAAACCCCGTTTCTCCCTTGTGATGTCGATTTATGAGAATGTAATCGTCGGTCTGATGGCTGCTTCTTATTTCCTCTTGGGCTATTTCCGTCTCTGGGAACTGAAACATCAGCAGTTATGTCCATTAATTTGATCCATTCTCTCAGCCTCATGGACGCTGCAGCAGAAAAAGGCTCGTTGTATCTGCGCATGTAGATAATTTAGGCGTCATTGTGCAAATCTGTTTGACCTGCAGGGTCGACGTGGTTTATGGTTTGTTGCTACAGAGGCACTCGTCACGCTTCGGTTGAGTTGGCAGCTGGTTTTAATGCAGATGTTGCACCTCCTGCAGTGGCAAACTTTGGCATTTTAACGCCTCCGTACTTGCGTTTTGTCTTGACAATCAATCAAAAAGAAAATGCTGTTAGAAAAAAACAACTGCTAAGCTGCAAATCTGTGGAAAAAATAAGTTTCTGTATGTTTTTGTACAAAGAACTTGTGATTTGCTGATCATTTCTGTGTTTCAAGTTGTTGTCACTGTGAGCACCTAGCATGCCGATGTTAGCATTTAGTTTCAGTTTAATGTCACTTTCAGGTTATATTTTGGTTCATGACAAAATACTTGTACAACTATGACGTTCCTATTAGCCACTGCTGTTCAGTGTTAATTACTTAATGTTAGCATGCTAATATGTTAAACTGAGATGGTGGATTTGGGAAGCATTATGCTAAGCTGGAATGACATTGTGAGCATCTTAGCTAGCCGACATTAGCATTTAGCTTTGCTTCAATGCAATGTCAGGTCAACATGGCATTTGTGTCAACTTCAATTGCTAAATGCTAGTTATCTAATGTTAGCATGCTAAGCTAAAGCAGGGGACAACGTAAACATCATAACAGACTAGCATCAGTGTGTAAGCATTGTCACTGTGAGCATGTTAGCACACTACTGTTAGCATTTAGCCTTAGGTGATATAAAAATCCTCAAAATAGCTTTAAATACATATATTTAGCTTGAAAAAAAGTGAAATAAAATCAACTAATACGGTATAGAGCTATAATGTTTTGCCACAGAGCTGCTAGCGTGTCTGTAAGTCCTGTTTCCGTAGCAACTAAAGCTACTGAAAATAACAATTGATTATTCATCAATTATGGTGTTAATGAAAGTAAACTGTATTAATTCTCTTGTAATTTATGTTAAATAGCCTTACATTCAGTTTGCTAACAGTAGCTAGCATTAGCCACTATAAGTTAGCTGTATTGACAGCAGCTTATTTTATAGTAAAATGGAGATTTCAGTATAAAATGTTTAAAATTACTTAAGTAACATTTTTGCTTTTTGAAGGAAGGAAATCATAATGAATGTCTCCTAACAGCTAGTTTTCAGTGGTTGAAGAGTTTGTTCTGCATCAGCTCGGAGGCAGACTTGATTCTAAATCTCGATTTCCTGTTTTGCAGAAGAGAGCGGCGTCTCTTTGCTGCAGCTGATCGGAGACCCGCCACCAAACGCGATCACCAGGGACTATGGGCCGAGCGGCGAGACTGCCTACGTCTTCACCTCGGCGGCGGCGTCGGGCCAGCCGGCTCTGGCCCACGTCCCCAACCCTTTTTACCGCCACTTTTCCCTCATCTTTCACATCAAGCCCTCCAGGTCGGCCGCCTCCGTCCTGTTCTCCATCACAGACGGACCTCAGAGGCTCATGTACATCGGCGTGAAGCTCAGCGCGGTGCAGTCGGGCCGCCAGAAGGTCCAGTTCTTCTACACGGAACCCGACTCCGAGGCGTCGTACGAGGCGGCCAGCTTCACCGTGCCGAGCCTGGTGGACACCTGGAGTCGCTTCTCGCTGGCGGTGTTCGAGGAACAGGTGACCTTCTACCACGGCTGCGACTCGGAGCCTCAGGTGGTGAAGTTCGAGCGCTCGCCGGATCCCATGGAGCTCGACAGCGCCGCCGGGATCTTCGTGGGTCAGGCAGGAGGAGCCGATGACGACAAGTTCCAGGTGACCTTCAAGAAGACTTAAGATGTTCAGGAGAAGTCTTGTTTTTGCCGATGCTTCCCTCCTTTAAGTCCCTTCTGTTAATATGACGCCATCTAAAGGTGTCGGCTTCTTATCTGAATCAACAATAGTCACAATGACACTCTAACTGGGTCGGACCGAGCCACATTTAACTTTTAACACAATTTTTTTGGTCTGAAAACATCACATTGAACAAAACACCATCTCTTAGAATTCAATCTTTACTGTGATGAACACAGATTAATGACTCGCCAGGAAAGAAGTTTAGTTTGTTGCTCCAGCTGTTGTTCCTCTGAGTTTATTAAATACCTTCAGTCATTTTTCTTGGATCTTTCAGTACTTTTACTCAAGCAAAGTACCACAAAACTTCATCCCCCGCTCCCTTCTAGAGATGTCGTGTAAAATTTGCTTCAGAAAAATGACGCTTTGAAGTTTTTCTAACACCAGAGGAATCCAGTGACGGTTGTCTTTACATCCAGGTGCTAATGCTAACAGCTAATTCAGCATATTTTTAATGGTGTCAACTAAATATAAACAAGGCTAAATGACTCCCTTCTTTGTGCTTTGACACTTTAAAACCCACTCGAAAGGTAAATGCATTAAAATTTTGACAAAAAAAGAAATATTAAATACCTTAATTAGTAATAAAACCTCCTAAACTGCATGTAGCTATAAATTTTCTAACAGCAAGACATATTCTAGTATTATGAGAATCTTTTTTTAACTCACATATAAACTGAAGATTAAAAAACTCATCCTAAATTTTGCACCACTATTTATCCATTTCCTGAATTTTATTGTGTTGAATTAGTTTGGTCACTTTAAAGATAGTCACCGCTTGCTTTAACATTTATATTTTTAATTAAATGACATTAACTCGTACAGATCTGCTTTCACTTTGACATGAAAGAGTCTTTTTTGGTAAATTCTTATTAAAAAAAAGCCAAATAATAGTTGATCATGATTCAATGTTGAGCTTAAAAGTTTAAAAAGATAAAACGTCAAGAAGGGGTGACTTTGTTTTTGTCAACGTTGTACCAAGAGTAGTTTGTTTTTCACACCAGCATTTGGAGGTCGGGTCCGTTTCCTAACAATAAACTGCAGCAGAGGAAATGAATCAAGTGTTGAGGAGACGTTTGTGACAGAAATAAATAAGAAATGTGGCCCTGGGGACCCAGAAAAGTCCAAATAAAACAGGTGTGTGGGTTCGTAGGTGGACGTCTGACCTCGGGGTCGGGTCAAATGTCACTTTAATATCCTCCTGTGGCAGGTTTGGACCTCGCTGACCACATGCGTCCGTCTTTTGAAGTGAAAACTGGGGAATAAACTGATTTAAGTCTCGACAAACTGGACGCCTCTTGAAGCTGAATGATGTGTTTTCAGGGTTCCATCGCGGAGCTGAAGGTGGTGGGAAACCCTCGGGCGGCCGAGCGCTTGTGTGACGACGAGGACGACGCAGACGCTGTGAGTTTTGAAATGTTTTTAAATTATTTTCTAATAATATTTTGAAGGCTTTTCGGTGACATCTTTCTCTCTGAAGGCGTCTGGCGACTACGGCAGCGGTGAAAGCGACAGGAGGCAGTCGGGACATTCAGCCAAGGTCGGTGTTTGTCATCACTTTGCTTTTTTATTCATATTTTAATGAGGAAGCAGAAGATTGTTTTTATCCTGAAAAGATCTTCACCTTGTTGATTTGTTTCCTGTTTAAGCCTCAGAGCCTCGAAACCTGACAGCAGGTTTGAAAGGCTTTAAATAAAATCACCTATATGACACCGTTTATCGGAGCCAGAAACTATAAAAACAGAAAAGAATCGTCACCTTTCTAGCAGCAGCTCATCAAAACCACTTTATTCGACATGTTTTATTTAAAAATTTGCCAAAAATAAACCGATTGCCTGAAAAACATTCTTTAAAAAACAAAAAATTCTGCGTTCTTCAGTGCGACTATGAAGCCATGAATGACTCAGCTGTGATCAACAGTCACATGACAAAAATTAATGAATTTTCGACTGAACTGCAGGCAGTGTTTACACTTAACGGATAGGAGAGAAGTATGGAAACGGAAGTAAAATATCTTTGTTATGCAGAGTCTCTTATCATTTCTTTCCAGTGTTGGTAGCACATGTATGTTTCCATAGAGGTGCAGTGAAAATGAACCCACAGTGAGTAAAAATGTGACAGGAGCAAAAAAAAAAAACCCCAAAAACCTATTATACGCGCTTTAAAATTATCTAAATTTTTACTTGAGAAAAAAAAATTACAAACTAGAGGTGTGAAGAAAGTGTGCATGGAGGAGGAAGGGGAGGGTTGAAATGCATTATGGGAATTGTAGGCTGTTTGACAGACTGATTTAACAGATAAAAAACATCAACTTGTGCAGCATATTTGTTGTTTCTAAGAATTATCTTCATATTGAACATCTGCAGTTGAATCCTAAATGATCTGGAAGGTACAAAATGTATTAAAAGAGAGATAATAGATCATGTAAAGCTTAAAAACAAGACTTGAGCTCACCTGGCTGAGCTAGCATCCCATGTACAGGGGCTATAGTTCCCGATGTGGTGGTCATGGGTTCGAATCCCACTCATGGCCCTTTGCTGCAACCCCTTCCTCCATTCTCCTTCTCCACTTTCCTGTCTCTCTTTCGACTGTCCAATCAAATAAAGGCAAGAAGGCCAAAAGAATAACTTAAAAGTAAATAAATAAATAAAGACTGTGTTGCAGAGAAACTGAGCCTCTTAAAGGAGCTGCAGCTTCACTGTCACTTTAAAAGTCTAAACCTGAATGAATTCTTGTTGTGTTTGTTATTTTGACCGACTCACGTTCTTCAGTTTAACAAACACTCAGGTTTTAATGTGTTCTCCGGTTCTGAAGAATTCCTTTCAGCTGTTTTCTTGTTAAAAAAATGTCAAATAAGTTCCAGGAAGTGGACAGATATGCACATTTAATCAATTATTTACTCTCCTTCAGTACCGTTTTAATTTATTTTTATCAACAAAGATTTAATCGTCAGACCTTCACGAGGGAAAATTCTGATACAATCAACAAATATTGGGGGAAAAACAGTCATGTAGCCGTATAATCTGCTCATGATTTTACCAAAACGGGACTTTTTTATTGTAAGGAATACAAACTAGCTGCTCTTTAGTCACCTGATATGAATAAAAACGTCAAAAAAGCCTCATTAAATATATCGATTATCACCTTTTTGCAGCTTTTGTGCATAAATACTGGTGAAACTTTCATCAGAACAACCTCGAGCACACTTAAAAATCAAAAAACAAACTGAAAATGTTCAATGTGGTTGCATGTAATCTGGAATTTTATGCACCTTTATGTAAGAAGACATTTTAAACGGCTGTCCTCTGCCCTGTTTTGTCCTCAGACCACCCCGGCATCCTTCCGTCCGGTGCCCGAGCCGCCGCTGACGTCCTCGCAGGGATCCAGAGTCAAAGAATCAGGTAAGAAAAACAAGTGACGGCACATCTTCGGCGTGTGGCTGCCAAGATGTTGAGCGGTGTAACTGTGCTGTGGAAATGTGTAATGGAAGTTTTTAATCATACGGCAGCCGCTGCCAAAGAAACGTCTTGCGGGATCACAGAGCTTTTATCCAGAAATATGTGCACGGAGCTGCTTGTCCGGACCTGAAAGTGTGACAGAGTTTATGCTACAGCGCTCCAGCTGCTTAGTGAAGCTCTGCAGCGCCTCCACATGGAGAGACGAAGGACTTTATACTATAAGTTCCTCACAAGGCGAAAAGAAACATGCATTTGGGTTTAAACTCTCCTTTAAAGAGGCACAAAAACAGGTTAACTCTCTAAACCGTGTCACTGTGGGTTCATTTTTCACTGCAACTAAAGTCCTGCATCTCTACAGAAACAGAACAACCACGAATAGAAGAAGAAAGCAGTTTTCTGTGCATGATTAGACAGTTGTAATGCCATAAATTGTGTTTTTTTTTAAAGAAATAAGTGGAATTTGTTTGATTATTTGATCAAAAGCTCCACAAAAGAATCCCTACGTCTTATCTAGAGGGACGATCTTGTTCATTAAAAGAGAAATTAAATGTAAAAGCCCTCCTCTGTGCAAAATTACACTTTTGTTGCAAGATAGAGTCAAAACATGTTGATTTCTAAGCAGATTTGTAGTAATGGTAGTACAACAATGTGGTGTACTTGGGTAACTGTGTGTATAAAATCAAAATTCTTTACAGAAAACACCAAAACTCTCAATAGAACACAATCACATGAGAAGAAAGGAACGTCGTAAATCCATATATCATGAAAAAACAAACACAACTTGCTTTTTAATATTTATTTTGCATTTATTTTGTTTTATTTTATTTTAAGTGCCCAGTGGTGGTAACAGCACTGGAAAAAAATGACGACTCACACACTTTAATAATAATATTTCTAACATTTTTAATTAGTTTTCATACTTGCCTCCTTAACGCTAGCCAAGACTATCTGAATTTTAACCATGTGACTGTTGATCATAGCTGAGTGGCTAATAGCTTCACGTTTGCTGCAAAAAACACAGAATTTTTTTGTTTTTTAAAGAATTTGTTTCGAGGAAATGTTATATTTTTGGCAATTTTTTAAACTAAAAATCACGATTTTAAGCTGATACTTGGTTAAATTTTCGAGTAGTTCAAGGACCGTCAGAAAGTAGGATTTTCAATGATTCTCTCTGTTTCTAGCTCTGATTATTGGGGATTTATTTCATGATAAGTTACGAGTGTTTTACATTAAAAAGCCCAGTGAACCCTGACAGACACCAGTGAAGCAGGTAAAGACGTTTCTGTGTTGACTCTAGACGGCAGGTACGAGCGTCCGTCGGTGGACGTCAGCCGGTCTGGATCGCCGGGCCCCAGAGGTGGGTCGCTGAGGGCCGGGAGGATGGTGCATGTGGTTTTAGCCAACATGTGGCCATCCTATCCCAGCATAGAATGAGCTCTGGCTGCTGGACGGTTCTGTTCTGGTGGGGTCTGCTGCCATCTTGTGGTTGTTTATCTGTCCCTTGGTTACCATGGCAACAGATGTTTGTGAAGTCTCCGCTTCAAAGTAAAGCCTTGCAAGGTGTTTTATTTTGAAGGAGAGGCAGACGAAGACTTGACAGAATCTGATGTGATTGCTTTCACATTTTTCTTTTTTCCTTTATTTTTTGTAACATTTGTGGAACAAACACACCCGCAAGTACAATAAAAACTACAAGTTATAAACAATCAGCTGTGTTAAGAGCAAAAATAAATGCATTCACTTACCAGCATCATTTGTAGAAACGCTGCTTCTTTTCGCTGTAATAAATGTTTATTTTCCTCACAGAGCTGCATTTTAACAAACTGCTCCCTTTAACTGAAAAAGTAAAAACTCAGTGAAATGCTGCAACATTGAAAAAGTGTGAAAAAAGTGGTCTAATATCTGTTTGTAGGGGATTTAAATACAGTACAAAATAGAATAATTTATGGTAAAAGTTGGGGAAAACATGAATTAGTATATGTAAAAATATAGGAGGAGAGACAGGTAAGATTTTTATTTATTTTTTAACAATTTTTCAGTCCTTCATGGAAATAAATTTTCTCTTATTCAGCTGCAAACATCTGTAAAATAGTTATATATATTTGCTATTTTTTTTAAAATACGTTTAAATGATTTGTTGAGAAACAAACTAATGGAAAAGGACAGATATTTTTCATTTATTTATTTTTATATTATTTACAGTTGGGTTTTTTTTTTACAGTCAACATGTGCATTCATTTTTTTGTGATTTTTATGGGATAAATAAGGATAATCTGTAATATAGCAATTTAAAAAGACATTTAACCTTTTTAAATTCTTGACATGAATAATGTTTAAATAATAGCAGATATCTGTAAAATAATCATGTTTTCAGCTGATTTAAATGGAATAAAGACTAACTTTGTGGTCAAATGTTGTGAGAGAAAAACTGCTATTTGTAAAAACATACTTTTGATTTATTCATTTTTTATTTATTTAAAAAAAAATTACAATTAACGTGTTAATTTATAGGATTTTTTGTGATTTTCTAGATTTTATGATATTTAACACAACTGAGAAAATCTGTGGAAAAAAAATCCAATACATTTTTTCATTTATTTATTTCTTCTTCTTCTTTTTTTTTTTTTTGAAGCATCATTTTCATGAAGAATACCAGGTAAACAGGGAAAGATAACAGCTACCATAATATCCATTATATCAGGGGTTTCAGGTTTTGTTGAACCGGCTAACGCAAAGAAAGCCTGACTTTGTTTAACTTACAAAACTTTTTAATTTTAAAATAACAAACCTCTGCAAAGATTCTGTCATTTGAACCATCCACTGAGGTAAAGATGTGCAACTGACATTTGTTTTGAACGATGCAGTAGCGCCCTCTGCAGGACGTTTTCCTGCATTGCCAACTCCATCATACACATTATATTCTACACAGAGGAAACAAACCTCTGGTCTCTGTTGGATTCTTTCATTAAACACTTCTTCGTCCTTTGTTTTGTGTTGTCGGTGCTGAAAAAGTGAAATTATTGCTGGTTTTGTTTTCACAATAATGGTGACTTTGCTTTGTGGTGCCGGTGGAGGTATCGATCGTTGGTTTCTGCTGATCATCATTGACACAATCTGAGAGTAAAATTGATCATTTATGTTACTTTAGAACACAAGAGGAGATGAATTTCACATTTCTTGCGCCGATAAATCTGTTAATTAAATGTTTTTTGTGCATCTATTTGTAAGTAATATCTCGCTTTGTGTCTCTCAGGTCCCGGCGGTGCTAAAGGTGAGAAAGGCGACCGAGGGGAGAAAGGCCTGAGGGGGGACCGAGGCCCCACCGGACCGAAGGGAGAACCGGGCTCTGGCTCTGGTTCTGGTTCCTCTTCTGGGGGTGGAGGACAGAAGGTAGAACAGCCTATAAGTGTGTCATGTATTCAGCCACAGATGAGTGACATGCAACTAACACGATCCATTTGTTTCTTGTTTTTCAGGGAGAAAAAGGTGCAAAGGTACGTCGGAGCTTTTAATCTTTTACTGTAAGTTTTTAAAAGTGATCAGAAATATTTGGACAGGTACGTATACTTTGTTAAGGGTTCCTGTCCAATTACTTTTGATTACTTCTAGTTCAGTGTATTGCGAGAGCTGCACCTCCAACACAGTTCTTCCAATGCTGATGTAAACAAACTCAAATTAAAGATAAAACTTGGCACTTTAGTGTTGTATCCACTGTTTTATTTCAGTTTAAATATGATGCAGCAAAACACAGCAGATTAAATGTGAGAGTTTATTCCTAACATTGGAAATAACTGCGAAATAATCCATATTAAAGGTCCATTTATCGTATTTTTCTCCGGTTTTTAGCCAAATCTTGTTTAGTTTATGTGAATATTCAGCAACTGAGCACTTTTAGGACTCATTTAAGGGGACGTGTAACTGAAAAACATGTTTTTTCTACTGTATCCAGGGATCTTTTTATTGGTTTGCGTCTCTTTCTGGTCGTTTTTTGCATCTTTGTGGCTTTTTCGTATCCGTTTATGTGTCATTGTGGTCATTTTCTGTATATCTGTGTTCAGTTTGAATCTTTTTCGGGTCATTTTGTTTGTCTTTACATCATATTTTCCATAAATTCAGGCTCTTTTCGGATCTTTTTCACTGGTTTGCATCATGTATCGTTGCAGCTTTTCTACATGTCGTACTTTTTGTGTCGCAGCAGTGATTTCATCTGTGTTCTCATTATTACTTTTCATTTTTTATCTCTTTTTTTAGTCAGTTCTATTCTTTTATGGTTTCAGCTGCATCATTTTTGTACGTCTTTGCAGTCATTTTACATCGACTTGTGTTCATTTTGCATGTCTTTCTCTTTGGTTTGCATAAATTATTTGATATTTTGCATTGAAGTAACAGTTTTTTTCATTGTTATACATCTATTTCTAGTCATTATTTGTGTATTTGTGGATGTTTTGCATCTTTTTGCAACCGTTTTGCTTCCAGTTGTGCTATTTTTGTGTTTCCTTATTGTCCTTTTATAAGTCATAGCAGGGGTTTTGTCTGTTTGCACTGGATTTGCATCTCTTTTTAGTTGTTTCTGTCTCTTTGTGCTCAATTTGCATCTATTTCTGGTCTTTTTGTGTGTATTTGCAGTGTTTTTACATCACACTTTGTATTTCTGTTCATTATGCGTGTCTTTTTCATTGTTTTGCATCTCTTTCTGGTTATTACTTGCGCAGTTGTGATTTGTTTTGCATCACTTTGCATCTAATAATGCACTTTATACCATTTATTGTTGTTCATTTTGCATCTATTTGAGGTATTTTTGTCGTTTTCTGGTCAATTTTCTTTCTTTTTTGGGGTCAATTTTAGCCTCTTTTTAGTCTTTTTGTGCGTCTTTGCAGTAATTTTACATCTATTTGTATTAATTTTACATTTCTTTTTTGTCAGTTTAGGTGGTTTCAATTTCTTTTGTCAGTTTGCATGAATTGTACATCTATTTCTGTTTACTTTGCATCCCGTTGTCACTGATTCGCATCTCTGTCTCTTTGTTTGTTGTGTCTTTGTGGTTGCTTTGCGTCTCTTTGCCGCTGTTTTGCATCTAGTTGCAGACCTTCTGTTCCTCTTTGCTGCCATGTTGTGTGTCGTAGCAGTGGTTTTATATGTTGGAATTGGTTTGTAATTGCATTCGAGTTCATTTTCCATCTGGTGTTTCTGTTTCTTTGTGGTCAAACTGCATCTCTCTGGTCTTGTCGTGTGTCTTTGGAGTCATTTTGTGGTCACTTTGCATCTCTTTCTGGTCTGTTTGTGCGTCTTTACGGTCACTTTAGTCTATTAACATTTGTTTTGCATCTCTTCATGTTTGATTTTTTTGCCTTTCTTGTAGTTTTGTTCTTTTTGTGAGAGATTTTGTGTTTTATTGTGGTTGTTTGATTGACTTTTTGGAAAGAGCTCTGTAGCAGTGATTTTAGCCGGAAGCTAAAAGTTGTGACAACATGTACATGTTTCCTGTAAACACAAATGAACAAGTCCACTTCTTCCTTACCAGGGGAGCTCCGGCTTCGGATACCCCGGCAATAAGGGTGACCGTGGGGCTCAGGGGCCTCCGGGGCCCCCTGGTCCTCCAGGACCTGCAGCTGAGGTGGTCCGACTCGGCGATGGCTCGGTTGTGCAGCAGGTGGCCGGACCTGCAGGACCGCCAGGACCAGCGGGGGCTGATGGAGCCGCAGGACCTCCAGGAACTGACGGGGAGCCGGTGAGTGTAAAGAGGATCAGAAGAACCTTTTAAGGATTTATGAGACGCTTGTTGCTCAGAGATGGTTCGTTGTCTTTCAGGGCGATCCGGGCGAGGATGGAAAAGCTGTGAGTTTACTGGTTTTATCCAATAAGATCAAATATTTCTGCAAAGAAGAATTATTTCTAGACTTTTCTACAACTCATCGGTGTAATTTGGGTGTTCTGGTCTCGTCTCCAGGGTCCTGCTGGACCTCGAGGTTTCCCAGGAACTCCAGGATCTGCTGGTGCCAAAGGCCAAAAGGTGCAAAACTTAAATACACAGTTTAACTCGGACACCAGGTTGTATTTCTGGGATTATTTGTGGCGTTGCAGCTGTTTTGTATCAAACAGTGATCATTTTCTGCTTCGTTGCTGTGTTTTTGTTTCTTGGCAGTGGTTTGATCTGTGTCTCCATTAGATTTGCAAATATTTTGTTCATTTTGCATCTATATTAATCCGTTTAAATTTCCATTAGATTTGCAAATATTTTGTTCATTTTGCATCTATATTAATCCGTTTAAATTTCTTTCTTGTCTTTTTGTGAGTTCTTGCCGTCATTTTATGTTTGTGTTCATTTTGCACTTCTTTCTGCTCTTTTTTGTGTCTCTATGGCTGGTATGAGTGTCTTTGCAGCCAATTGCATCTAGTAGTGTTCCTTCTCTGTTTTCTCTTCTGTCGTGGTTTTATCTGTGCATTTATTTGTGTTACGTTTGGGGATCTTTGCAGTCATTTTACCATTTTCTGTGTTTATTTTGCATCTATTTTTTATTGATTTGCAAAAAGCAGTTTAAATAAGACTGGTTTATATTTATTGTGCTAATTTGTGGCCTCTGAATCTTCCCAGGGTGAACGTGGAGAAGCTCAGCCTGGACCCAGAGGCCCTCCAGGCCCACCAGGACCTCCTGGACCGGGCAACGGTGATCGCCCTGTAAGTCCACATTTCAAATCCACTTTTATTTCTGTACTTTTCAAACTTTTCACTGTGGTGTCTGTTTTTGCAGACGTTCTTTGACATGGAGGGCTCCGGATTCCCAGACTTGGACAGAATGCGGGTATGTTTCTCGTTTTAAACCGAGAGTTGAGGATTTAAGCAATGAAATCATTGTGTGATTTGTTCTGCAGGGTCCCCGTGGCCCCCCTGGTCTCCCAGGTCCTCCAGGCCCTCCTGGTACTTCAGTGGCATTGGGAACTAATGGTGCAGTAGCCTTTGGACCTCCTGGACCGCCTGGACAAGACGGGGTTCCTGGTCTACCAGTGAGCGTTTTGCTGTTTCACTGTTTTAATGTAACACGTTGGATCTTTGAACCAGTTAACTGATTAGTCGATTGATGTAAAAGTAATTATTGAGATCCATTTCAAGTGAAAATCCGCAAAAATTAGGCAGTTTCATGTGTTTTTTTTTTTATCATCTTTAGTTATAGGAAATGCTTATTTGCAATTTGTATACGTTGCTTTGGTCTCCCCATTTTTTCACCAATGACAATAGAAGGAATTTTTGGTTTCAGCCAAATTGTGAAAACCAATACACACTGACTGTATTTGCTGTTTCAGGGCCCACCTGGTCCTCCTGGTCCACCTGGTCGACCTGGAACAGTGAAAGGTGAAAAGGTAAAAAAAAAAAAAAAAAACAAGTTGACTGAGAGGCTAACTTCCAGCCATGCTACTAGCTCTGAGAGGCTAAATGCTTCTGTTAGCATTCAAGCATACCTGTAGTTACACCAGGCTGCTCTTGCATACTGTTTTAGGTCTCCTCTTGGAAACAGTTAAGGAAGCACTAATGATATTATAATCATAATCAATCTCAGAACCAAATTTCATCATCCAATAGAGTTTTGAATAAAAATATTTCATTTTTTCAGATTTTAGTGTTTAATTTTATGCAAGCAATACTATTATATATATGTTGAAGTTTCTAGCATGACTGGAAAGAAGGTGTAAAGGTGTACCACAAGGTCCTAAATCCATGTCCATTTTCTGTTTTGTTACTGATATTTCATAAACTTTCCTGATTTTGGTGTTTGATTATATGCAGATGATACGATTGTATATGCATTTGTGCCGCTAGCATTGCTAGATAGGAAGTGTAAAGGTGTACCTCAAGGTTCTGTATTGGGGTCACTTCTGTTTTTCTGTTCTGTTAATGATATCTCATCTTATATCTCAAAATTCAGTGTTTATTATTCTATATGTAGGTGAAACCATTATATATACACTAAACAACAGTGTGGCCAGAAAGGAGGTGTAATGTTCTTTTAGGTTTTTTCTAAATGTCGTCTTCCTGCAGGGTGACAGCGGTGAACTCGGTCTTCCAGGAGCAGCTGGAGAAAAGGTGAGAAAATCCTCTGATTTGACTTTTGAAAGCATAACTGCTTAGAATAAAAAGTGGTTCATTGAACTGGTATCAGAATGAATATTTGTGGTGGCTGCATCTAGATAGACATTTCTGTTGCTTTCCTCTAGCAAAACGCACAAGACTCCGGCTTTTTCACCGGCCTCTTCTCTTACTTTACTCCATCCTCTACGGTGTGTAGTGGGTCGCAGGTATTGGGGGGTCTCTGCTTTGGTGGTTTGCTTTCCTTTTTTAACATTTTTCATTTTCACGTTTGACACTGTTATTAACCGAATGTAGTGATGAGTGACTCTAAAACACATCACCAGCTGCGTTTCCTGAAACGTGCTGAGGAGGAATACTTTTCCATGCTGTATCCAACTTTATTTAGTCTGAAGAGATCACTAAACTCTGCCTAACTTTCACCTTTTCAACCCTGCACACGTGTGTTCTATCTCGCCTTTTTCTGCATCAACCGGTTTTCCTCTTTTCCTCTTCTTCTCTGGTAGCGTCAAAGATATTTTCCTAACCTGCTAACATCAGAATTGTATGTAAAAAATTACTAATATAATGCCTCCCACCTCAGGGTGCTCAGGGCGACCCGGGACAGACGGGTACACCTGGACAGACGGGTCTGGCAGGGCTTCCAGGCCCAATGGGACCAATTGGGCCTCCAGGGCCTCCAGGACCACCAGGACCACCGTACCGAGTTGGCTATGTGAGTATTATAATGCCATTCTATGCACTGTTTCACTTCAGCAAATACAGACATAAAATTCTTTTAGGAAGTCCACATTCTGCTTTGAGCCAAGTTCAGCCAAAAACCTCATGAAATTTGAGTTTGAGTCACATTTGAGTCACTCATGACTTCTAGGTTGTGCCGAGGAGTTTAGAATTTCTTTGTTTATCACAGAATTTGGTGCAAATGGTTTATTTTGAGTAATTTTTTCACTGAAACAATGTAGTGAATAATGTAGTTTTGATAAAGTATCACAAATTTAAGCTGGAATTTGGCTAATAAACACCAGAGCACTTGTAAGGTTGAGACCCCATGAATTCTTCTGTTATTACAGTTTCTTGTTCTGATAAATGGTCCAATTTTGGCTGTTTTTTAAAAAGGTAACATGCCTTTTTTGTTTGTTTTTGGGCTTCAGAGGGTCAAAGCATGTTCACATATTCTAGTAAATTCACAAAATATAAATGTGTACAACACTGGCTGTTTAAAATGCACCTTTTGTGGTTGTTTTAAGGGATTGCAATGGGGTGACTATAAAAGTGAAACTAAAATGCTCTGAACATCCCAAAGTTTTTATTAATAACGTTGTGAATCTTGACTAAAATCTTAACACAATTAATGTAAAGCTGAGTTTTGGATATTAACAACCAGTGAGATAATAATCTCCTTTATCACTGTCTGATTTTAAATCTTCTCTATACAGAACGACCAAAATGGATATGAGGTGTTCAATGGCGGGACTGGAGTTGGAGGCCCACCTGGACCTCAGGTAACCAGCTGGAGGTTGTTGGAGTCACTTTGCTTGAAGTGCTGCACAAGCTTTAATCTCATACTGTCTCGTATCATGTCTTCCAGGGTCCACCTGGTATTGCAGGTCTGCCTGTAAGTAGAGGTTACTGTAGAACCTGTAGAACTAAACAAATCTGTTGAGAATATTTGTGGGAGCTTTCTTGATTTTATGATTTATTATTTGCCATATTTGTTTTACCAATGGTTTGTAGGGTAAACCAGGTTTACCAGGTAGCCATGGAAATAAAGGAGCAGAAGGACCACGAGGGCCACCTGGTATCTCGGGTCTGGATGGATTCCCTGGACAGCAGGTACCGACCAAATAAACAAGATTTTGTTGTTGAGTTGCTTCTCATGTGTACAGTATCTTTATAAAGATCTCCAAATTGAATTGTAGTATTCACACTTGGGAGTATTTTTGGCACTAAAAAGGTCTTCTGTTCACTTTTTAGGGTGAAAAGGGCGAAAGAGGAGTAAAGGGCGACATGGTGAGTTCACTGCAAAATACCTGCACATAGTTCATATTTTTTAAAACTGTAGTGACAATGTTTGTTGGTGCAATATCAAATTAGTCTGACCTCAAGGTCTGTTTGGTAGATCATTTCATAGGAACTTCATCGACTTGTGTAGCTTGTAACCTGCTACTAAATGGACCTTGTAAGCTTGATTTACCACTTGGTATATAGGTTTTCATATATGTGCAAAATATGTATCAATTTAAGAAAAACAACAAACATTTAGGGTGTTTTTTGTAGTGGATGCTGCATTCTATGAAACATATTTATTGCTATTTTTTGTGTTTGCTTGAGTGGAAAAGGTGTCCCCCATGGCTCGACCTTAGGGCCACTTTTGATTTCTGTTTTTTGTTTTATTAATGAGAGCTTATAAATTGTTTTAGTTTTAGGATTCTGTTATATACAGATGATACTCTGACATATATATACATTGAAAACTGTGCCTCAGAGTTCTGCTTTAGCGCCACTTCTGCTTTATCTTTTTTAAATAATATTAAGCTAAGAACTGATCCGATTGCCTTATTTAATTATATGCAGATGATGCTGTTTTATATCCACCAAAAACTTGACCTAATTACAGAGGCTTTATTATCTGTGAATAATAACTGAACATATTAGAACACAATTTCCCTGAGGTACCCTACCAAAGGGATCAATAAAGTTTTATATTATCTTATCTTACAACAGCAAGTTCTTTTTATATATTATAAAAGACGTCTTATATATCAACCTTAGTTTTTTTTTATTCTAGTCTTTGTACCTCAAATAACGTGTATGTCTGGTATTTATTTTATTTTATTGACTATTACTTTGTACATTGTAATGTTTTTATTGTTTTTGATAAAGTTCATTGTGATTTTACAAACCTTTGCTCAGCTAAAGATAGATTGTCAAACTTCTATACTATGGTTTTTAGTACGAGAAATGACCTCCAAATCTAAATCTCTGGTTTATTGTTATGTACGTGAATAATGTTGAAATGTGGCATCGTTGTTAATCAAGATGCATCCAAAACTCTTATCTGAAAACATTCTTCTTCAGTGTAATTGCTGATCTTCTACCCATTTTTTATTTAGGGTCTACCAGGACGAGATGGGGGACCACCTGGACCTCCAGGGCCTCCCGGACCTCCAGGACAGACTGTGTACCAGCCGACAGGAGATGTGAGTCTGTAGAACTTCACTGCATTGATCCATCAAATTAAGTTAACCTCCATTTTCACGACAGCTTGTCATTGAATCACTCCTCGACTAAATCTAACTCATTCACTAACAGTCACAGCTCGCCGGATTGTTTGTTCACCTTCGTACTAACTGACCTAACTTTGTCTTGCTGTAGTATAACGACGTTTATTGGAACGAAGGGGGGCAGGTGAGTCGATGAACTAACGGATGTCACCATAAACCCACTAAACTGCACCTTTCACAAGCAGAAAGAGAATTTGATCTCTTGTTAATGCTTTGTTATTCCCTCTTGTTCAGGGAGGAGGTATTCCAGGTCGAGCAGGATTCCCGGTAAGTGTTATTACAATTATTAGACAAGTTCAGTTTGGAAAAATCCGATTAATTCCAGAAAGTAAAAGGAAGTTGCTGTAATTTGTGTTTTAAATTAGGGGCCCATTGGTCCAAAAGGAGACAAAGGGGAATCAGGTCCTCCAGGATATGCACCTAAGGTAGGATAGTCCATGTTTAATGAATTTATTTTTGCATATTTGGTATGTTTTTGTGCAAAACTGTTTACTGCAAAGAGAGTTTTGTCTGAATAATGAGCTGTGTTTAAAGAAAAATCGAGTTTTCTGTGCAATGTGAGCATCTTCTCTCTCTCCAGTTGAGATTATTTGCTCTTTTAAACCTTCTAAAATAGATAACCACAACACAATGCTGTATATAGGTGAATAAATCATGGACAAACGTGTAAAAATTCTGTTTTCATATGGAGAAAAAGACTAGCTTTGCCTCCTAATGTGAATGATTTTTCAGTAGAATTTTTCTAAATGTTTTGTTCAGGGAGAGAAAGGAGAACCGGGCCTCATCATGGGGCCTGATGGGAGACCTTTGTACGTCGGAGGCCTGCAAGGGAAGCCGGTACATTAATGTCTTTAGAATAATTTACCAGTTTTTTGCATCACAACTTGAATTTTATAAGTCATGAACTTAATTGTTGGCTAGATCTTTTCAACTAAGTGCATTAAAGGTCAGTGTTTGATGTTTCCAGGGTGATCCAGGACTGCCCGGCCCAGAGGGACCTCCAGTACGTACCAGTCTTCATCACTGTACAGTTGGTCGGCTACAATCAGATTAGCATAGCTAGCTCACATGTGCTCTTTCCTCCAGGGTCCGTACGGTCCATCAGGTCCGAAGGGGGAGATCGGTTTACCCGGCAGACCGGTGAGTAGGAAATGTCCAACTGATTAAGAAGTCGCGAGACTGTTCAAGGTGTTTTTCTGAACATGGTTGGTGCCCATTTGCGAATTCTCCGTAGCTTTTAAACCGGACCAGAGTGGTGACCAGAGCTGGGTCTGCAGCTACCATCAGGAGAAGAAACAGCCATTTTTATAGTTAAAGAACCACAGCAGAAAGGAATTTTCAGGTTGGAATTAGTCTAACGAACCTTCAAACCACCTGAACTGTTGGCTTGGTCACGGTGCGCTGATTCTGCACAGGTTTGGGTTTTGTGTTTTGTGACACAACAACTCAATTTGACTCTCCTCCCTGTGATTCGATCCTCTTCTCCAGAGTAAAATTCAATTTGAACGGTTGCTGTTTGGACACATTTTCGGAGGTTCAGCTCAGATGGTGTCGTTTCCAGAGCAGGACTTGTAAACATGTTGCAGGAGCACTTGGAGCAGAGTATCACTGCACAAGGAGACTTTTTTTTAAGGAGGGTGTTGAGTGTTTATACCAGCGAGACTACGAGGTTGTGCTGCCTCAAAGTATTTGTTCTATTTGTAAAACTACAGTTTAAACTTTAACCATTGCTCACACGTTCATTACTTAGTTTACTTTTTGTCTACCTGATTTAAATGTGCGTCTGACTTCTGTGTTTCAGGGTCGACCAGGACTGAACGGCGCCAGAGGAGAGAAGGGAGACTCAGGCGGTGGGTCTGGATATGGCTACCCTGTGAGTGCTGCAGTTCAGAGTTTTCATTTTTTGTGAACTTCTGTAGCTTTTATGTTTAAGGCGAACAACGAACGCGCACAGTAACAGATATTTGTCGTGTCTCAGGGCCCTCCAGGTCCACCGGGGCCTCCTGGACCTCCTGGACCTTCTGTTCCAGTCGACGGAGCCAGAGTGAGTCGATTTTTCTCTAACGGTGTCTTAAGTTGTTAATCTCATGCCTTAAAATTAAACTGGTGTTTTTATAACTATTCTGTCTTTCTATTTCAGGGATATGATGATTATTCCAGGTATTTCCCAGGTGAGTTTTAGCTCCGTTACAAAATAGCGTAACGCTATGACATCCAAAAGCTGTAAATGAGTAAATAAAAACAAAAATAAAAGCGAATATTTATTAAATAATAATATATTTTTAGCTGATTTAAACAGAGTAAAACTGTCTGATTTGGATGTCACATGTCTTTCAAATTCCAGCAAATATCTATAAAATAATAAATTATAAAAATACAGTGAAATAATGTAATTTTACAGTCAAGCATTGCAAAATCATTTTCATTCATAAAAATAAAGATTTTTTTTTTATGTGGACATAATTTACAGTTTTGGGCTGTTTGTTTTGTACTGTTAACATGTAAATTAATACTTTTTTGTCATTTACTAGATGTTATTTGTATTATATAACAAAACAGAGAAAATAACAGTAAACTGTTTTTAAAAAATCACAGATAAAAAAAAACATATATTTTTTTGTTATTATTGTTATGGTGTGACTGTTCAAAAGCAAGAAAACCAAACTAAACAGAACCTTTGCAAATCATTTGATTTTTTAGCTTAGCTTAGCATAAAGCTGGGGAAACTGCTAGCGTGTCTCACTTTAGCCACTCTGGCTTCATCTGACAATAGTTCTCGTGTTTCCTAAGAGGTCCAACTGTTCAAAGTGAATCTACTGGTGTTTAATTTGTTTTGTTTACAGTTAAAGGAGATAAAGGGGATCCAGGACCACCAGGGACTCTTGAAATTCCAGGTAGCTTCACTTTATCCACGTACATGCAGGAAAAACTCCTGAAACTTAATGTTTTTGTAACAACGCTTTTTGTTTCGTCTGCAGGTTTTGGGTCAAATGTTGACATTTACACTCTGAAGGTAAACTCCTGTTTGCACATGATTATAATTTTAAAACTTATTCTTATGAGTAAAGTGTGAAAATCTGTTTTACTCACATTGTTTCTTGAACATTTTTTATGTACAGTATCAGCTGAAAGGTGACGTGGGCTCGAAGGGAGAGAAAGGAGAACCAGGTGGAGGATATTACGACCCTCGCTATGGAGGCAGTGGAGTCGGAGCCCCAGGAGCTCCTGGACCTCCGGTAGGATCACCAAAAAACAGAATTCAGCCTTCATTCGATCGTATAATGTGTAATTTTTAAACATGCATAATCATACTTTTAAAATGCCACGATTGAGTACGACTCTGTTCTCCCATCAGGGCCCTCCGGGTGACCCCATCGTCGGCCCACCAGGCCCTCCGGGGCCACAGGGACCCCCAGGACGGGGCTACGATGGACAGCCTGGACCACCGGGGCCTCCTGGACCTCCAGGACCGACGCTGTCCGGGACTCACAGGGGAACACAGAGTGAGTTACATTAGAAAAAGACCCCCAAATATTCAAGATTAACCCTCTGGACCCCCAAGTTTATGGAGGTTTATTGACTCCTGTCACATTTTTACTCACTGTGGGCTCGTTTCAGTATGAAGTCTGGAAACTCTATAGAAACAGTACAGCCACGAAGAAGGAGAGAAAACTCAGAAATGTTTTAATATAAGTACATTTATATTCAAAAATTGGAAGAAAAAAAAAACAACCTGGAAGCAACATGTCAAACATTTCAAGTGCCCACCGGTGTTCCCACCACTGGAAAAAGAGATGGTGGCTCAACATAATAATCAATGTTTTACAGTTTCAGTTTGTTTCCATGCTTGTCTGTTCTGCTTGGTGTAAACACTGCCTGCAGTTCAGCCTGAAGCTCTCCTCATTTTTGTCACATGACTGTTGGTTACAATTCAGTCACTCATGGCTTCATAGTTGGGCTGAGGAGCACATTTTTTTAGTTTTTTGTAAACAATCTGGTTTGAGAGAACAGTTTGTTTTTGGTGAATTTTTAAATGAGGCATCAGTTTTCATGAAATATCACAATTTTAGGGTGATTTTTCACTATTACACTGTATGTACCACACGACACATTCAAGGACCATTTCAAAAGTTGAAAAAATTGTCGATTTATGTTGTTGTCACAATTATTTGCTTAAAAAACTGGTGTACTAATGCCAATTATTAAATCAGATATAAGGTGATTTTTAGCTTAAACTTGGTGATTAGTTCAAGGACTGTCGGAAAGTTGAGAATCCAACAATTCTTTCAGGTTTCTGACTAATAAATGGTGCAGTTTTGGTTGTCTTTATGAACGATAACATGCATTTCAAACCCGTTTCAAAGGGTTATTAAAAGATTACCTGGTCTGATTAGTTTCTTCTGTCTGTTCCATGTTTATTACAAACCAATGAGGTAAATTACTGACAGCACAGTGAATATTTAATCCTCCGCCTCGCTACATCTCAAACCAGTCCTGTTTGAATTATATTTAAGTTCCTTTAAAGCTCATCTGACTGTATTTCATGACAGCGATCAGTATTCCTGGACCCCCGGGACCACCCGGAGCTCCTGGACTACCTGGACACTCCTCAGGGGTGAGTAAACCCTCCTCACTTTATTTCCTTTTTATACATCATTAAAAGCAGCAGAAAATTCACATTTAGGCTGTGCAACAATCTCCAGAGTGTCTTTGTGTTTGCAGGTGACAGTGTTGAGGTCTTATGAAACCATGGCGGCCACAGCGAGAAGACAACCTGAAGGCTCTCTGGTCTACGTCATAGAACAAACCGACCTCTACCTGCGGGTCCGAGATGGAGTTCGCCAAGTGCAGGTGAACAGTTAATGTTTAACCCAAATCAGCCAGAATAACACAAAAGAAAAAGAAAAAAAGAACAAGTATCACTTAATTACAGAACGTTCTCATGTTGTACTTGAGTTTGGACGTGGCGAGATGCATCGTTGATGTCAACTGTTGCCTGGCATAAAGTTTTCTTCCACTTAAAAATCATCAGAATGTCGTCTCAAATCATCACATTTCTTGAACAATTTCCAAATGATTGTAAAGACACTTAAAGAAACCACTAGAAGACAAAACCTGACTGCAAGAAGACACAAAGCGACCACGACATTTGTTCAGATTTACCCAACTTTGAGCATCAATATTAATCGCTAACATAGAGTCATAAAAACAATCATTGGTACCCTGGATGTGTTTTTGTTTTCTCATAATTCCCCAGAGAAAATTAATCTTTGAATAAAATTGGCATGTGATATCGGTGGTTGGTCAGAAAAAGCCAATGAAAGGATGATCTTCTAGACAGGAGCCCTTCTGTAGCCAAGTAACTTTCTGAAACAGGCCTTCTGTTGTGGCAGCAGCACCTTTCTACGTGTAATAATGCAGTTTCTTGTTTGTTTTCCAGCTTGGAAGCTACATTCCTTTGCCCATTGGCGATGTAAGTGTAATACTTCTACATTCTCTTATTCAGAACATTCAACTTCCTGTTTCGGCCCGTTTTAACTCACATTATGGTTTCAGGGTAACGAGGTTGCAGCTGTGGAGCCTCCTCCAGTCGTCCCGTACTACCCGGACCACCACCACAACAACCCCGGCACCGCCACCCACGAGTCCCAGAGGCCACCTGAGAATCCGGTGGAGACGCAGCCACAACCGCAGCCAGAGCAGCCTTATCCCGATCCGCGGTACCAGCCGGATCCTCGGTACCAGCCTGAGCAGCCTTACCCCGACCCCAGGTACCAGCCGGAGCAGCCTTACCCCGACCCCCGGTACCAGCCGGAGCAGCCTTACCCCGACCCCCGGTACCAGCCGGAGCAGCCTTACCCCGATCCTCGTTACCAGCCTGAGCAGCCTTACCCTGACCCGCGGTACCAGCCAGATCCTCGGTACCAGCCAGATCCTCGGTACCCGGCGCCAACGGATCCCAGGTTCCCGAGCTACTCCGACCGGTTAAACCAGCCAGACGGGAGGTATTCTGTCCCGGAGAGCCGCCATCCGGTCACCCCTGCACGAAGACCGCCTCCACCAGTACCACAGACGCCACTGCACCGCCACACCTCCGGACCGGGGGTAAGGAACGCTTCTTCGCTGCTGTAAGACTCCAGCTGGTGGTGTGGAAGGTGTTGTCGGTAGGTATAGTAAATGTTCTCCACTGTCCACAGCTCCACCTGGTGGCCCTGAACAGCCCTCAGACCGGCGCCATGAGGGGCATCCGAGGGGCAGATTTCATGTGCTTCACTCAGGCTCAGGCCATCGGGATGAAGGGAACTTTCAGGGCCTTCTTGTCCGCCAGACTGCAGGATCTCCACAGCATCGTCCGCAAGGCCGACCGGGACAGTATGCCGATAGTCAACCTGAAGGTAGTCCAGCAAACACTCACGTCACGGTCCAACCCTGCCTCCAAAAGATCACATTCCTGTGTGGTACTTCTTGAAAGAAATATAATTTAGTGTTTTCTCTCTGAAAGGGAAGACTTTTACTTTGAAAGAGTCACCAAGTCCCATCATCAGGGACTTCTGCTCGACCATCTCTGATTTGTTTGAAACCTTTTTTTTCATCATAAACTATGAATGTTTAAAATTGTATCTGTGAAATTTTAGCTTGATTTTTAGTTTTTTATTTGCCCGTCGACCCACTTTCAGCATATTTTTTTATACATTTTATATACATACCTGAAATCTTTGCTGTTAGTCCTCATCATGTCATTGATTCTGAATCTGCAATATTGGACAAGTAGATGAAATATTCTGTTATTATTGGTGAGTTGAAATACCAGCTTTAGTTTCTGAGCTGACTGTGTTGTCTTTTTCAGGACGAGGTTCTGTTTGACAGTTGGGACGCCATCTTTAATGATGGCAGAATGAAGGACCGTGTGCCCATCTACTCCTTTGATGGCAGAGATGTTCTCAGCGACAGTGCATGGTAATTTTTATTTTTTTAATTAGATGTGTAGATTAAATTGATTTCAAGCTTAGAGTTGAGTAGGACTTTGGGAAAATTGAAAATCCAACAACTCTTTCTGTTTTGTACACTTTCTGACTGCAATTTTGGCTAATAAGCTTCTTGCGTGCTGGTAAGTTTTGTGGTTCAGAACAAAACGTGTAAAGTCACCAACACTTGTCCTCTGACAGGCCGGAGAAGACGATGTGGCACGGCTCGACCAGCGGCGGCCAGCGACACGTCGACAGCTTCTGCGAGACGTGGCGGGTGGGCGAGCGGGCGCTGACCGGCATGGCGTCGCCGCTGCAGGGCGGCGGCGGCCTGCTGCAGCAGAGCTCCAGCAGCTGCTCCAGCTCCTACATCGTGCTGTGCATCGAGAACAGCTACATCGCCAAGAGATAGACGCACACAGAAACACAACACAGCACCGGGCGGGCCAGGCCTTCGTCCACACACACTTCGATCTGTCGTTCCACTGTTTGTGGTGCTTTGTAAATAGGATTTTTTTTAAAATGAGTAATTAGTTTGTGTTTATTAGCCCTTCGTATACGGTGCTACACAGGATTACCCCTCATGTAAGTGAAGCTCAGGTGACCGACAGTAACTCAGCCATAGTGGAGGTGGCCTGAAAAGGTTTCCAAAGGAGCAGCTTTGTTGTCTTTTCTTTGCCGTTTGTGACTCGTCAGCCAGCAGAAGCTACAGTGCTGATATTGATAAGGTTAGCATACTTGGGTCCAGCTAGTGAAGCCCAGATTGTGTTGTTTAGGCCAGATTTCAGCCTAAATCGTGATGTAATGGAGGTGAAATGATTCTAGGTTGTGGTGTTCACAGGGTTGAAAACTGAATGTACAAAACTTACCAGACCTGGATGCTCTGTCTGGTAAAGAACTCCGTTATCCACAGTAACAGGTCTGGACTATGAAGCAGGATTTAAGGTTAGCAAGGCAACTTTTCAGGACTATGACGCCCTACCCTGCACATTGTGTTCAAGAAAGCAGCTCAATAAACGAAAACCAAACCAGTTCTCTTGAAAAATATCGTCACCATATGGAGAAGATCCCACAGAGCTCAGATTTGAAGTTAGCAGGATAACTTCGGGTTTAACTCTGTTTTTTTTGGGACTGTGGCGTCTTATCCTGTACACCATGTTGGAGATCAACACGTATAAAAACACTTTCATCAGTTGTCTTGAAAAATGACATCATTGTTCTTAGAATATCCTGTGAAACTTGGATTTGTGGTTAATTCAGGATTAACTCTGGATTTTCAAAACTATAACGCCTTATCCGATACGCTATGTTCGACATAACTGATCAACGCATCAGCGAAAAATTATGTCAACATTCGTAGAAGATACCAAAGCTGTTAGCTTTGGGGTTAGCAAGGTAACTTCAGGTTTAGTTCTGGATTTTCAGGGGCTACAACAACTTATCCTGAACATCTCAACTGCACCAAGATAACGGTTCAGCACATAAAATGCCTCCTACTGACCAATCCTAGAAAATAGTGTCAGCATTCATTTGAAGTCAGCAAGATAAATTCAGGTTTAACTCTGAGTTTTCAGGAGTTTCGATGCTTCTTCTGATTTTTTGAAGGTTTATCATCGATTATCACAGCTACAAAATACTTTTCCTGAATTCTCAAAGACTCCTTTGACCTTCTGGATGAAGAAATATTCTGATTAACGTGCGATAAAGGTGATTTTTAAACTGTTATCTGGGCTGCAACTTCCTCCCTGAATTGATGTTTCTGTTAATTCATGTTTTCTAACAAAAATATCAGCATAAAGGTTAAAACATCTTTTAAATCCAGCAACAGGAGAGGAGTCTTTGAGGATTTTAGGATTAATTTAAAGATCCAACAGACTGAAATTCATAAATAATCCAGCAATAGGAGGACTTTAAACCAGCGCTCGGAGGTGTCTGGATGTTTATTTTCCATAAATAAGTGACTAAAGTGTAACTAAAGCTGCTCTTGAATCATCAGTTTTTAATCCTGTGACGACCACAACAGCAAACCTCCTCGCTGGTCTCTGTGAGGAAACACCGCGAGCGATTCGGGGGATGAACCACTAGAAATGACTTTTATGGCTTTTACACCTCAAATATCTGAAAAACAGTGTTAATAATGATCTAATTAGATGAGTTCCTCTGTTTTATACACCACAGCTACGTTTATATCCAGTGTTTGTCAGGGCTGCAGTGGAAAATAGATCCTAGGATGAAATATTCTGATGATTAATATAATATTTAGCGTCCGAACGTGTTTTTTTTTTTGTTTGTGAAATGTGTGTTTTTGTTTAACTTCTCCTCTTTAACTCCAATGTAAGCCACAGCACTTGAGTTTAACATCCTTTTCATATTTGCTACAAGGGAAGATGTTTTCAGATCGTGTTTTTGAGCAATAACAAAAGGGATATTTATTTTTTATAAGCCGTGCCTTGTTTTTTTTTTTTCTACTTCACCTATAGTGTTTGCTTTCACACAGAACACCACTCGGTGTGTCCGCAGAAAACGGACATACGAAGGACATGCAGTTGAAATGTGCAGAAATGTGACGAGGATTCAGCCATAGACGTGTCGCGCACTGTTCAGGCTTCACGGAGGGTCGATGTTTTGTACTAACAGAGTCTCTTCTGCTTCTCGCTGAATAAAACCATGTGTGGAAAATGTGAGTGAAGCTCTCAGCTGATGGTGTTTTTAAAGGGTCGTCTCAATGCATCTGATTCGTGGGACAGTTTCTGCTCAACCACGTCGGATTCAAATCATCAGAGTTCAACTCCAACATTGAGAATTTATGTAAAACTTTTATTTTAGTTTTTTTTAATCCGTGATATTTTAGATTGATGCACTAAATACTGAACAAGATTATTATTATTATTATTATTTAGATTTGCCTGTTGTGCCAAAGAAGCTGCTGAAAATAGGTCCAAAAAAAAGAAAAAGAAAATAAAAAAACTGATTAAATCTATGTGCACCCTTAGGGAACAGAAAATTGCTGGAGCTGCACAACCAAAAAAAAAAAACAAAAAAAAAGCAGCGTTGATCTACATTTGTTTAGAAACTCACTCAGGGTGTGGTGATGTTATCAGATGATGAAATTCTGTGAAACATTCTGCTTGTTTACATCCATAAAACCATCACAGGCTTCTGTTCAGTCACTAGATACTTCATTACCAGTAAAGGTTTTGTCAGTAAAGTTTAATCAAGACGATAAAATTTCTGGACCGCTCAGTGGATTTCTGTACATATAGATAACCAGTCAAAGGTTTGGACACATGCAAGCTTTTTATAAATTGTAGAACAAAACTGAAAACATCTAAAACTGTGAATTAACACATATGCACGCTGCTGAAAAACTTGTGATGCTGTCAGAGCTCCGGGTTTCTTTGCAGCAGGTCCACCATGAATGTCTGAGGTGGCTTCTAATCTGAGTTTCTGACAAGAGCTGATCTCTCATGAATCCCCTGCAGCAGTAGGTCCTCCTGTCCGGGGCGGTCGTCCTGACAGGACAAAGGGGATGTGGCTGCAGGAACTTGAAGTGGGCGTCCACAGCAAGTGTTTTTGCTCAGAGGTCATTCAACAGGTTGATCTAGTTTTGCAGATTGTTTACATTCAGCTTCGTCATCCTTCATGTTCCAGGTAGAGAGAACTGATGCAAGTCCAGGTGTAATGTAGCGTGACACAGAGCGCTCTGGAACATTCGTGCTTATAGACTTTAAAAAACAGTCTTTAAGTTCTTGAACAATTTACTGTCATTCTATGGATTTTAATAAATCACATATATAGTAGGTAAAGAAAAGGGGGAAAAAAACATTTAATTTTAACATATATTGTACGAATGTTTTTGTTATTTATGTCTTTTAGATGTGTTTTTATTTTTTTATTTAGTGGCTATACATTTTTTGGTAGGTGAGGTTGTGCTGCAGGAATCACTGATATAAAACCTACAGTGATGTGGAAAAAAAGAACAATGATATGGATACAAATACAGTTAAAAAAAAAAATCTCAAGATATGAAATATTTGGCATCAAGGATAAGAAGAGAAACAGCATCACTGTACACCATAAAAATGTTTACTTTTTTTGGAAGAGAAAATAATTAATCTATATTTTAACTGTGGGATAACTGTTAATAACATCCACCTTTTAAAAAAATCTGCATTTTTAGAAACAGTAATTTGTTCTTTCACAGCATTTGATTTTAAAATTACATTATTATTTTTACTGTATTTAAATCAGCTGGATAATGTTGTTATTTTACAGATATTTTGTGGTATTTGGAAGAAAAATGATGCATATTAAGGACTGAAAACTGGTAAATAATTTGTTAAGCTGTCAGAATTTCACTATTTTTTTTAATCACAGAATCACAGTGGGGGAAAAACAGAAAAAAAAGCCCAAACTAACAATAATAATCAAAAAATAAAATTAAAAATTGGGTAAAACTTCCAGATTTCTGCTGCCTGTAACTTAGTGGTTTGTGCATTACCTGTTTGTCTCTATCTGCTGCTGACTGCAAACAATTACCGAGTGTAAGTTAAGCACCTTTTTGGACTTTATTCTTCACTAATGTTAACAATTTCACAAGAGCTTGAATCTTTTTAGTTTTTCTGGGGTTGTTTTTGTCGGTCGAGCAGCTTCTGAGCATTCGGCTAAGACTAAGATGCAGTAATGTCGATCTAATTCTGAAATCATTATAATCTGGTGACGTATAATTATGACACAATATTAAAACATGAGCTCAGTTTAAAGAATAAGTGTTAAATTCCAAATTCCATCTCAAACCATCAGAGGCCTTCTGCTGCACTGTCTCTGATTTATTTGAAGCTTTTAAAAAATATATATATATTAACCTGTGAAAATTTACAATGGTACCTGTGAAATTTTAGATTGATATATCAAATACTCTACGTGTGTGTGTGTGTGTGTGTGTGTGTTTTCTTTAAGCCGTTTTGTTCTCACACTTTGAAGTTTGAGGCTCTTTGAACAACATGTTAGAAACTATTAAAGATAAAAAGCTGAACTTTTCACTGATGTTTCTCATCATGTGATTAATTCAGAATCTGCAATATTAGACAAGTAGATAAAATAATCTCTAATTATGAGTGAGCTGAAATATGAAAACAAATTTTAAAAATGAAGCCGTTATGGAAAGTTCTATCTTTGAGCACAAATTAACAGACGTAGATGTCGACGAGTGATATTTTCTGAACCACATGTAGCTGCATGTCAATAATACAAAACAAAGAAATGTAATGAAAAATGAAATGAAAGCTATTTTTGTTTTAAATTCAATAACTGAGCAGAAATGACAAGTTGTACGATGAAAACAAAAACATTGGTAGATATCTGATCCAAGCAGAACAGAGTGCTGGAGTTTAAAGTAGTTCTCCAAACATAACTAAGAAAATTGTTTTGTTTTTTTAAAATATGGGAATATTGTTTGTTTTCTAGGCTGGAGAAACAGATCAAACGGTTACCTATTACACATATTGAGTTCATTAACTTGTTAGAAGAGATGCTTGAAGGCAAACTCTTCAGCAGTTCCCAGAAACATTCATGCAGTCACACGTGAGTCCAGCTGAGACTTTGTTCTGTTTGGAAGAAACTTCAACACCAAAGAAGAGAATCTGATTCTGCACTGATCGTGTGACAACAAGGGTAAGTATTTCTACATACAGTCATCCTCAGATTTATTCATACCCTCCCGTTAAAGAAGGAAAAAAGCAGCTTCAGTCACTGAAATAAGCTGAAATTGAAAAAAGTAATGAATAAATTTTTTATGAAAATAATGACGTTGCTTTTGGATTGTGGTTCAACAGAAATATTAAAAACAAAAAAACAAGCAAACAAGCGTGATCGGACCGTAAACTAATATCTAGCTGAACAACCCTTTGAGCCGATCACTGCCATCAGGTGTTTCCTGTAACTCTCAGTCTGTTGACAGGTGTTCTGATTTCACTGCTCATCAGCAAAGTGCTCTAACTTGTCTGGGACAGATTTTTTTATTTTTTAAAATTAGTTATTTCAACCACAATTCAAAAGCGATGTCTTACTTCACTAAATTATAATTTAGCAAATTTTTATTTATTATTACTTTTCTCAGTTTCTAGTTTTTTGAGTGACTGTTGTGAATTTTGCCTTTTCTTTAGTTGAGGACATTTGAGGACGGCTGTATTTATACACCCTGTATTTGATCATGCGTGTCAGTGTCATCACATGACAACAGTTTTATTGCTGTAGTTGTGTCATTTCCTCAGCAGTCCTTTCTCACCCTTCCCTCTCCTGCTTTTCTCTGCTAAGTCAAAGTGAAACTTCCCCAGTAGCTGATGAAAGGCTCCTTCCAGCTTTAAGATTTGGGCGTTTTTCTGCCCTGAGCTCCGCCTTCAGGCACAGCCTTCGTCCAAACTCTGCTTCATACACACAACTTAACAGGTCCTCAGCCCACACAAGGATTTCTGCCGTCGTTCTAACAGCTGTGAGCACTCTTTGGGGTGACATAATGCTTCTGCATTGGGTTCGTTATCCTGGTTAGAGAGTTAGCTCTCGGCCTGCAAGACAAGCTCAGGGGCCGCTAGCTGTGAGGCGTTCAGGTGTTCAGGTGAGCTTGTGGGTGCGCCGCTGACGCTGTGGAGAATCATTTCTTAGAAGACAGTTTCCTTTAGCTGACAGAGAGGTAGAGGTTATTTCTGTGTCTTGTCTGTCCTCAGATTCCCGTTTTTGTGGCAGTAGTTTCACTTCGCTGTGAGTGACGGAGCTGCTTTCATCAACAACAACCAAAAAAAGGTACTGTGACATGTTTTTGTTTGTTAGATTTCTTAACTTATTTCCTTAATGTGCTGCACGCTTGTTATTTTTCACGATGTAGAGAAGTATTTCGGGTTTTTTAAAATTAAGTACAAGTGTTGGTTTTATTTTACGATAAGAATTTATCACAGGCTCCAGTAACGGTGCACCGCAGCGCACTTCCGGGTCCTGTCGACAGCTCGTGTTGGTTAACGTGGGACACTTCATAAAGAAGAGATAAACTCTGAGACAGTTTACAGAATCATCCCAGTGTCTCTGCTCCCAACTTGATAAGATCCCATAAACGTCAACGTGTTTAAAACATTATTGACATGAACAGAAGAAGAAAGAAAGAAAGCAAAAAAGAAAGAAAGAAAGAAAAGAAGAGTAGTCATACAGAGAAATGATGAGTCATCCTGGATCATAGAGGTTGACAGGCACTGTTGGCAAACTACAAAACAAAGCAACACGTGTCCACATGTATAGACATCACATTTTACAGTAGTTAATTTTTTGAAATTTTATTTTTATTATTTTAGTATTGTTATGTTTATTTTAGTATTATTTTTATTTTTTTGTTTTTATTAATTTTTTTTAACATTGTATTTTATTTTTCTAAAGCAAATCTTCTGTTTCTCTGCTACAGATACAGACAGCTAATATGTGGATGTGAATTTAACAGGTAAGTTTCCACCAAGAACATTTTGAAAATGCAAACGGCGCATGAGCTCTCGCTGCCCTTTGATATTTATTCAACATCTGTAACATTTTCAGAACAAAAAGAACCAAAGAAAGACGTGTTTTTTGTTTGTTTTACTTTCTTCACAAAGCTAATTGACAATATGTTTGGTGTGTTTTGTGTAAAGACAGAAGTTTCACTATGGATCCTCTTGAGGGGACAGATGAAGGATTCCCACCCTTCACAATCCCTCCTTTTGACGGTCTGAATAAATCTCAGAGGTGAGACGAGAATCTTTACCTAATTTTCAAATCTTTAACATTTTTATATTCATATCTAGTCATATGGATGTTGTCCATGTTTTACAGGTTTTGACATTTTAGTCATTTCCTAAAGTTGACCGTTGCTGTTGCTTTGGTTGATTTGACTGTAGTTTCTATTTAATGTATTTTTGTTAGCAGCCAAGAAAATTTAACAGAAGTTTTCATCCTGAGCCATGACTATTTCCGGCATTTTCTGTTCAGTATGACACTAGAGACCATCATGCAATGGGGTCATACCATCCAGGATACTCATCTGTATATTGATCTTCACAGCACTCATTGCTACATTATTGTAGTATTGTGTTGTAGTATTGTATTCGAATACTCACCACCAGAGTTGTTTGAAGTACAAAAGACTTTTCCATCCATTGGAGCAATTTAGTGTCAGGATATACATTAAAACAGTACAGGACCAAGTATGGACCCCTGTGGGACACCACATTAAAACTTTAGTGAAATGGAACTCTTAACATTGGCTCTTGTTTTGTGAATTGTTTTGAGCTGATAAAACAGGATGTTCACCACTGTCAAATTAGTATATCATTATTATGATTATAAACTCTATGTTGTGTTGCAGCCAACAGCAGCAGCAGGAGAGGCCAGATTCTCCTGCACCCAGCTGTGTGTCCTTCAAGACCAACAACTCCAAAGAGCTGGACTATGTTTTTAAAGGAGAGCATTCTCCTGAAACAGGGTAAGTTAACATTTGACGATTATATGTGCTATGTTGGTGTTAACGAAGCATTTTTAGGCAGGCATTTTAACTCCCTTGTTCATGGTTTGTCTCTATCAGGGCCCAGGATTGGAGACCAGACTCTCCTGTACCCAGCTGTGTGTCCTTCAAAACCAACAACTCCAAAGAGCTGGAATATGTTTTTAAAGGGGAACATTCTACTGAAACAGGGTAAGTCAACATTTGACTATCGTATGTGCTATGTTGGTGTTAACGAAGCATTTTTAGGCAGGAATTTTAACTCCCTTCTTCATGGTCTGTCTCTATCAGGGTCCGGGAGGGAAGACCAGACTCTCCTGTATCCAGCTTTGTGTCCTTGAAGACAAACAACTCCAAAGAGCTGGACTATGTTTTTAAAGGAGAGCATTCTCCTGAAACAGTGTAAGTAAACATTGGACTATCGTATGTGCTATGGTAGTGTCAATGAAGCATTTTTAGGCAGGAATTTTAACTCCCTTCTTCATGGTCTGTCTCTGTCAGGGCCCAGGATTGGAGACCAGACTCTCCTGTACCCAGCTGTGTGTCTTTCAAGACCAACAACTCCAAAGAGCTGGACTATGTTTTTAAAGGAGAACATTCCACTGAAACCAGGTTTGTTAACATGCTGCTATATGCTGTAAGTAACACCAGGATTTAGGTAAATAAAACAGAAAAACCCTGACATGTATTAATAATGGCATTATGGCTGAGGTCCACACAGACGCACTCATCTTTTTAGTGTATCCTCTCTTTATTGGTTTTTCAAAAGTGCTGGCACAGCCTTTTCCAAGGATCAACCATTGTCAAATAAGTATTTTAAAAATGCTGAAGTATGTTTTCCTCCACAGACTACAACTGGAGATGTCAGAGATTCGTCGTGGTCAGTTTGCTGTGGAGCATGAACCCAACATGGACCCCGTGTTTGTGGTAAATTTATGTTATTCCACAAGGACAATTTCAAACATAGTCACGAGACTTCTTATTTTTAACACATTTTCCACGACACTAAAATGTAGCTGTCATCATTTTCCAGGTGCTTGAGGAGAACATTTCCCTTTTTGTGAAGAATGAGCTGAAGAGGATGCAGAGGGATTTAAAATCGGAGAGTCCAGATAAAGAGGTTACGGACAGCCATGAGGAAAAGCATACGAGGAGCATCAGAGAGGCGTTTCTGAAAATCGCACTGCATTTCCTGAGGAGAATAAAGCAGGATGAGCTGGCTGACTGTCTGCAGAGCAGTAAGAAGATTTTTACAGATTTACAATTCAAAAATGCCAGAGATGTTTGTTTTTAGCAAATAGACAATTTCAGTTGACATATTTGTTTAAGTATCGACTCACTATTTTTTTTTGGTTAATGCAGAGTCCCATGCTCTATGCCAGCTTAAACTGAAATCAGTTTTAAAGCAGAAGTTCCAGTGTGTGTTTGAGGGCATCGCTAAAGCAGAACAGTCAACCTCTCTGAATGAGATCTACACAGAGCTGCACATCACAGAGGGAGGGACTGCAGAGGTCAATGATGAACATGAGGTCAGACAGATTGAAGCAGCATCCAGG